TAACAGTGATGAATTTTTAAACCTATAAACATGGTATATCTTTCCATTTATTTAGATCTTTAATTTTTCTTGGTAGTGTTTGGTAGGTTTCAGTGTACAAGTCTTGCACATATTTTGTTACATTTATCTATTAGTATTTGATATTTTGATGTTGTTGTAAATGGTAGTATTTTCATAAACTTTTATTTTTAGAATAGTTTTAGATTTTTAGGAAAGTTGCAGTAAATGATAGTTTAAAATTTTTTGGTATTTCAGTGTTTCATTGCTAGCATATAAAAATGCAATAATATTTTTGGTACATTTACTCTGTACTCTGCAACTTTGCCTAATTCACTTATTAGATTTAGTAGCTGATTTGGTAGATGATTTGAGATTTTCTGCATACACAGTCATATTGTCTACAAATAACAAATTTACTCCTTCCTTTCAAATATTTATTCCTTTTATTTCTTTTTATTATGCTATCATTGTGGCTAGGACCTCCAGTACAATGTTGAATAGGTCTATTGAAGTGGACACACTTGCCTTGTTTACAGTCTTAGGGGAGGAAGTATTAAGTCTTTCACTATTAAGCATTATAGCTGTGGGGGTTTTTTAATAGATACCCTTCTATTCCTAATTTGTTTAGAGCTTTTAACTTGAATGTGTAGTGAATTATGTCAAGTGCTTTTTCTAGAGCTATTGAGATAATCATATGTTGGTTTTTTTCCTTTTCATTCTGTTAATACTGTGAATTTTATTAATTGATCTCAAATGTTAAGCCAAGGTTGCAATCTTGGCTAAAACCATACTTGATCATAATGTAACATCTTTTTTTTTATATATTGCTGAATTCAATTTGCTAAATTTTAAAGGGTTTTTACATCTATGTTCATGAAGGATACTGGCTTATAGTTTTCTGTCTTGGTCAGATTTTGGTGTCAGAGTTATGCTGGCTTCATGAAATAAATTGTGAAATGTTTCCCCCTCATCTATTTTTTGCAAGAGTTAGTGAAAAAATTATGCTATTTCTTCCTTATGTGTTTGGTAGATTTTATCAGAGCCTGACATTTTCTTTATTAAAATGATTTTAATTATAATTTTAATTTCTTTAATAGCTATAGGGATATGAAAACATCTATTTCTTCTTGTGTGAACTTTGATAATGTCTTTTTTCAAGAAATTTACTTTATAAACTTGTTCATAATATCCCCTTCTAATCTCTGTAATGTTTGCTTTCATCAATGATATTGGTAATTTGTGCCTACTATCTTTTCTTGATCATTCTGGCTATAGGTTTACCAATTTTCTTGATCTTTTAAAAGACCCGGCTTTTAGTTTCATTGATTTTTCTCTAATGCCTTCCTACTATATTTTATTGATTTCTGTGCTTATATTTATAATTTCCTTCCTTCTGTTTACTTCTTTGAAATTGCCTTTTCTTCCTAGTTTCTTAAAGTGAATCTTAGATCATTGACTTGAGATCTTTTCTAATGTAAGCATTTGATGCTATACATTTTCTTTAATATTGTTTTATCTGCATCTTACAAATTTTGGTATATTGTATTTTCACTTTCATTTAGTCCAGAATTTTTTTGGTTTTCCTTGTGTGTTTTTTCTTCCACCTATGAATTATTAGAAGAGGGTTGTATAATTTACAAGTTTTATGAGAATTTTCCATATGTCTTTTTTTAATTTTTAGTTTAATTTCATTGTATTTAGATATTTACTTTGTATGATTTCAATCCTTTTAACTTTATAGAGGCTTGTTTTATAGCCCAGAATTCAGTCTGTCTTGGTGAATATTCCATGTATACTTGAAAGGAATTTGTATTCTGTTGGTATTGGTAGGAATGCTTTATCAATATTGATTAGGGCATGTTGGTTGATAGTGTTATTACCATCTTGTATAGCCTTAATAATTGTCTGTGTGTTCTATCTGTTACTGAGAGAGAAGTATTAATTTCCAATAATTGTGGATTTTTCTATTTCTCCTTAATATTTTAAATATTAATATTTTATACATGTATTTTGAAGTTTCGTTATTAGGTATATAAATATTTACAGTTGTTGGGTCCTCTTTGACAAATTGACCTTTTTATCATTATGAACTGCCCCAGTTGTCTCTGGTAATTTTCCTAGTTCGAAAATATACCTTGTCTTATATTGTGGTAGGCAAAATGTCCCCCCAAAGATATCTAGGCCTTAAGCCTTAGAACCTGTGAATATGTTATGTTACATGGTAAAGGGAACTTTGCAGATGTATTTAATTTTACAGTATTAGTTTCTAGAACAATTTACCACAGATCTAGTGTCTTAAAAGTACACAAACTTATTATCTCACAGTTCTGTAGTCAGAAGTACAGTATAGCATGGCTCAGGTCTTCTGCTTAGAGTCTTACAAGGTCGAAATCAAGGTGTTGGAAGGGCTGTACAGCAGGTCCTTGAATAACATCATTTCATTATAATATTGATGAGATGCCATAAGAACTTAACTCTTGTTTATATCAATTAGCCTATGGTAAAATTGGTTTTGTTTTATGTCTTTTTGCTTAAAGTCGCAGAACATATCAACATTAACTGAGAATTTACTGTATTCCTTTCTGGAGTCTCTGGGGATTGATCTGTTTCTGGACTTATTCAAGTTGTTGTCAGAATTTAGTTCCTTGCTGTTGTAGGGCTTAGGATCCTATTTCCTTGGTAACTGTCAACCAGAAATCATTCTCAGCTTCTAGAGTCTGCCTGCATTCCTTGGTTTATGGATCCCTTCCTCTGACTTCAAAGCTAGCCAAGGCAAGTCAAGTCCTTCTCACGTTTGAAATCTTTGGCTTCACCTTCTGCCTCATCTCTCCTCTTCTGCCACATCTCTCTGACTTATATGCAGCCTTATGCTCTTAAGTACACATATAATTACATTGGACCCACCTGGATAATCTGGAATAATCTCCCTATTTTAAGGTGAGCTGATTAGTAACCATAATTCCATCTGCAGAGTTATTTCATGGTAGTAACTAGATTTGTGTTTGATTGAATAATCAGAGACAGGAATCTTGGGGAACATTTTTAAAATTCTCTGCCTACCACAGTTACAGACTTTATGATAGGAATAGTATCATGGATTATTCAGGTGGACTCAATCTATTCATATGAGCTCTTAAAAGCAAAGAACATTCTCAGGAAGCAGGAGCAATATGACAGAAGGAAATGTCAGAAGAATTCCAAGCATGAGAAAGATTTGATATTTTGTTGCTGATTTTAAGATGTAAAGGCCTATGTGCAGAGATCAGAGAGAGAGAGACCTCTAGGATCTAAGGGTGGCCCCCACCTGACAGCCAGCAAAGAACTTGGGATCTCAGTACTACAACCACAAGAAACCAGATTGCCAACCGTCCAAATGAAGGAAATCCTTTCCAGAGTCCCCTGATAAGAGCCCAGCCAACTGACATCTTTCTGTTGTTAATCCTCACCCGAGGATTTTTTTTTTCCATTCATTTTTAGAGAGGGTAGGAAGGAGGAAGGAGAGGGATGAGGTGAAAGAGAAACGTTGATGTGAGAGACACATTGGTTGCCTCCCGCACGTGCCCCAACTGTGGCCAGGGATCGAACCTGCAACCCAGGTACTTGCCCTTGGCTGGCAATCGAACTTGCAACCCTTTGGTGCTCGGGCTGATACTCTAACCATCTTGCATACCTGCCAGGGCCTAACTGACATCTTGATCTCAGCCTTATGAGACTCAGAGCAGAGCAACCAACTAAGTCTGTCTGGACTTCTGACATACACAACTGTGAGATAATAAATTTGTATTATTTTAAGCTTCTAAGTTTGTGGTATCAATAGAAGACTAAAACAGATATTAATGCCATCACTCTATCTTTTGGTTAGTGTTTGCTTTGTATAATTTTTTCTGTCCTTTTACTTTTATTCTATCTGTGACTTTATACATAGATAAAGTGGGTTTCTTATTGATAGCATACTGTTGTCTTGCTTGATAAAGCCAATCTGACAATCTTTGACTTTTAATTAGTATTTACATCATTTACATTTAATGTAATTGCCAATAGGATGGGTTTTAATTACCACTTTCTTGCTACAGCCTGGAAACTGCCTCTAGGCAGTAAGCTAGGACAATAATAGAGTTTACTTTCTTTGTTTTCTTTTTTTCCTTCTGCCATAACGGTCCTTCACTGCCTGTTGTCCAGATCTGAAAACTGTTGTTTCATATGTTTTGCCTAGTTTCTTGTTTAAGGTGGGAAGGAAAACCCCATTCCTCTTATTACATTAAAAAAAAAAATAGAAGTAGAAGTCCTCAACAATGTAATTTCTAATTAATATTTTATGGATATACTTTTCAGAAAGTTCCTTGTGTGTGTGTGTGTGTGTGTGTGTGTGTGTGTGTGTGTGTGTGTGTGTGTGGAGAGAGAGAATGTATTCAGTCGAGAAAAGTATAATACATGTACTAAAATGCTAGCATATATGAACATGACAGATAGTAGCCTTTTTAAAAATCAAATCAAATAATTAGTCAGTGACAGAACTTGACCATTCCTGAATATGTCAACCTTTTCCAGTCTCCATGTCTTGGTATGGCCAGTTCCTTCTGCTTGGAATGCTTCCTCATCTCACATTCTTTCCTGCCTGGCAGCTTTCTAAGTATCCTCTGGAACCAGTTCCAGGGTCATCACCTCTGCTTCCCAGTGCCCCATATTTTCTCTTGTGGGCTCCCATCACACCCTCCTCCATAGCACCATTATGGTACATGTCATGCTGTGTTACAATTATATGTTTCTCTGTGGACTCCCTCCTACAGGAAGCCCTGGAAAGCAGGGACCTGATTTTAGTCTTCTTTATGTTTCTCTTATCCCCTAACACAGTATGTCTTCTACATAGAACTTTTCAATAAATGATTGTTGAATTAGTGGTTCTTTTCATGTGCTGAAAAATACTGCTGTTATTACTCCCCATTTCAGTATCACATATTTGTAAATGTGAATCCTATTTAATCATTTTACTTTTCTCCTAGTAAATTCCTCATCTATGCCTGTCTGCTGCTATTCTCTGTGCTGCTGGCTCTTCGTCTGGATGGCATCATTCAGTGGAGTTACTGGGCTGTCTTTGCACCAATATGGCTGTGGAAGTTAATGGTCATTGTTGGAGCCTCCATTGGAACTGGAATCTGGGCACGAAATCCCCAGTATCGGTAATACTGCTTTATAAAACCCATTGGTCTCTATCCCAAGAGATCAATGTCTTGTTTTTCACTTTGAATAAAGTAAAGAATTTTTTTCTCCTCTACTTATCCAGGGTTTTATTAGAATTATTATATAGGCAAATTGAGTTCTAGTCCAAGATATTAAAAATTAGGTGTTCAACATGCATTTTTCTTGCAAAAGCAGTGTTATTTGGGGTGATTCATTTCCTAGCCAGGCCACAAAAGTCTATGTAATCTAAACTTCATGCCAAATATATAAGTGTTATAGCCATGCTAGACTAGGAAGTATGAAACCACCATATTTGTAGGAGCAGTTTTACAGACCAAAGTTCTAGCTCTGATCATCAGGAATATATCCTTCTCCAGTTCAGTCCTGCAACTGGGGCTCTCCTTGTTCAGGGACTTAAGATTGTTATCAGTATGGGAGAAGTAGCTTGGCAAGGAAACAGTGAATCCCTGAAATGGGGAGAGATGAGGTCCAGAGGCTGTGCAGGAGAGCAGAGCCTTTGGGAGTTGGGCAGACTGTGACCTTTACCTTCAGTTCCTCTGTGCCTTTCTTATGGGATGGCTCAGCTAGTCCAAGTGCCTGGAATTGACTCACTCCAGTGTGTAATCTGGAGCTGCTGAGGCCTGTGAAAATCTCTCTTTTCTCCCTGGAACTTCAGAAAGGATGAAAAGGAGAAATGAGAGGGGAGCTATTCTGAACTTCACCTGGATGGTGGGAAGTGATGGAATGCCATGTAGGCAGATGGGGGCAAAAAAGAGGAACACATGCAGCTGCTCCTGTGAGAAAAGTGTAGACAGTGTCACACCTCAGCTTGTTTAATTCTTGGTTATTTACATTAAAATAATATTTAGATTGTGTAAAACACATTACCACATACATGTCTAAGAACTTTAAAATAGCCATACAAAGAACTTTGGAAGATGGGGGACACTCATGTGTAGTTGCTTTAAAGTTATTAGATTTTTTTTTTTCAGATTATCTGTGTGGCTACAAATCTTTTTTAATGAGCTACTTTCAGATATCTAACATTTACTACTCCAAAAATGAAAAAGTTAAATCACTGAATGTGTTGGGTTCCGCTAATTGATATTTAGAAGGTATTTGAACTTTTCTGTCTTCGTTCAATTTAAGATTCTTAGAACAAGGAAAGGAACCTGTATGTGTGTAGTTTAATGTACTGAGTATACAGTTGTGGTTGTTCTAGTGCCAACAGTAGCCAAGGAAACGTTGTTGAGTCTTACAGAAATAACCACTGACCTTATTTTCTCTATGTCCTAAACTCAGTTGTATTTATCATCATCAAGACACACCATAAATGTTCATCCATATTTTGAATGAAACATTGTAGGCCTTCCAAATATATTATGAAGCATTTTCCTGATTAGTGGCCTTATTCTTTTTCTATTGTTCATCTGGTAAGTTCATGCATGATATGTAGACAGCTAATTAAACTGATTTTGTTGAAGAACAGTTTTAGCTCTTTTCCTCTTCTCTCTTTCATCTGCAAGTGTTAATTCATCCTAATGGAATAGAAAGGGGAAAAAAGGCATTAATACTTTTTACTTGCATTTTAAAATATCACCTAACCATAGTTACTGTATTTTCTTGAAATATAACCCACACTTGTTAATAAAGCTAGAGTTGTTTTATAACATTGCATGAAATGTGGTTTACATGGTTTTTAATTTGTTAAGAAATGAGGATCATAAGATTTAAGGGATATTTGTCAGTTTTTAGCAATAGAAACAATCAGCTTGAATAATCTTGGAAGTAGTTTAATTTAAAGTTATGAACAGGTGTTTTGTACACTATCGGAGAAATAATAACTGCTATTACTTCTAGGACTATCCCTATATAGTTAAAACTTTAAGTCTGATTTGGTTGTAATGTTTGCTTCTTGTCATGTAGTAGTTCTTCTGTGTTTGAAAGATCACCTATTAAATATTAAGTTTAAGTTAGCTTTCTGCCTGATATTTCCTTTGCTTTTTGTCAAATTTACAAACATGACTCACATTATCAACGTAAGTTGGTATTTTCCCTGGACTGCTTGCTTATTATGGAGACTCTGAACTGAGGGTGTTTTTCTTTTTCTGTCCTTTTTTAGAGCAGAAGGAGAAACATGTGTGGAGTTTAAAGCCATGCTAATTGCAGTGGGCATCCACTTACTCCTGTTGATGTTTGAAGTGCTGGTCTGTGACAGGATCGAGCGAGGCAGCCATTTCTGGCTTCTGGTCTTCATGCCACTGTTCTTTGTTTCCCCAGTGTCTGTTGCAGCTTGTGTTTGGGGCTTTCGACATGACAGGTCACTGGAGGTAAGATTTCATATATTTAAGAATGATTAGTTATTGTAATGTAGACTTTTGCCCTTTGTTAGGGAGAGATTGATCATTAACTCTAGGTCAAGGTATATAGGGAAACAAAAGACCATGGAAATAATCACACTGCACTTTCTTGAATTAAAACACTGTTTTTTCACCAGGCCATCAGCCTTGTTCCAGCTTCACATCTTTGCCTATCCACCTGTTTCAGTCAAGATTCTCATGAGAAACAGAATCAATAGGATAGATGTAAATGTAGGTGTAGATATAGATATAAGTATAGATATAAGGAGATTTATTTTAAGGACCTGGCTCATTCAGGGGAAGACCTGGATCACATTTCAGTTCATGTTCACCGAACCACACAGAAGCGGTGGGTTTGCAGCCCTATACAGATTGGTTCAGGGGAGAATTGGACACTATGGAAACTGTTTTGAGTTTCATGGGTAAAAGTGGAAGAAGGAGATGGGAGTTGGGTTGGAAGGAAGCTGGAAAGTGGCTTGCTTAGGGTGTGTGAACCTTGAGAAGAAGGTACCTATGGAGAGGGAGGGTGATGGAGTGAGGACCTATGAGAAATAGAGGGAACAGGACCCTAAGCACCAGGAAGAGCTTGACCTTGAACAGGGAGAGTGATTCCTCTGGTGCTGGGTGGACTGTGGAGGCAGAGTACCCCTGAGGCCCACTTTTACTCTCTGCCTCACTTTCCCAAGATTGAACAATCCAGCCACTTCTCTGCACTGCCCCCTTTGGCTGCTTGCCAGTGGTATTAAAATTTCATGACGGAGTATGATTAAGACAAAAATGTCTAAAAAGACTCCTGAAGGGACAGTAATTGAGCAAGGTTGAGAAGCTCTGAGTTAGAGCCTCCTTTCTCCCCTGCAACCTGCTATCTGGCCATCTCTACATGGTGCCCCTCCCTGCCCCCTGTTCCCCAGGAGGACCTTTGTCTGTTCTCTCTCATCCCTGCCTGTCCATCCTCCCTCCTGAGGCAGGCCAGTCATGTTTGTGCTTCAGCCCTTCTCCCCCTCTTGTTCCTCTAAGCATGTGCTCCCGAACTTATCCACACTCTCTCTCTGGTAGCTTTGGTCTCTCTCATCTAAATGAGAAAACAAAATGACACCAAAACCCCCTCAGTCCCCTGGCTGTTGTGCCTTTTCCTTCCATTCACAAAAAGGCTCCCTGAAATAGTGCTGTTCTAACCTTGTGCTCTCTACTCAGCTCCTGCACACCCTGAACTGGCACTGAGCACCCTCTGGCCAAATCCAGTGGGCCATTTTCTGACTTTTTCCTGGCTACCGGCCACTCTGCATCTCCAGATGCCCCTGGTCCTTTGACCATTCTGCCACCTCTGTCTTCTGCTCCATTGCTGTTTCTTAGGGTTCTAATCTTGGGCATTTTCTCTCTTCACTGTGCATACTTCCTCTGAAAATAGTGTGTATGCTTCCTGTTTCCACTGCCGCTTATGTGCTGTCACCTCCTAAATTCATATTTCTAAACTCAGATTTCTCCTCTAGCTCCAGACTTCATATCCAGCTTCATTCAAGTCTGTATTCCCTATATTAGTTAAAAGCACCATTCCTACCTAGTCATCCTACCTTTCAACTTTATGCTTCTCTTGCTTTGCACGCTTACCTGAGCAAACAAAGTAAAACCAAGCTTTAAAAATCATTTGCAAAAGTTTACATTAAACAAAATCATTGAGCTGAAACATTCTAGATATTGCCTATTTGGTTCAGCATTTCTCAGTAGGGGATGGGGGATGCAGTTGGCCTTCTGGATAGGAAATATTTTGTTGAACAGGACTGTCCTATATATTGCAGGACCTCTCCCCCTAGTCTTCGTGACACCCAGTAGTGCCCCTGCATGTGCCTAACTCTTCCCCAAAGCAGCAGCTGTCACCCAGGTTGAAAAGTACTAAGTTAGATAGGGGCTGAGGAGGAGGTTTAAGAAAACTAAAAATTTGTTGCTTCATTTATTTTTATTTTATTTATTTTTTTGGTAAAAGCATATATGAGGGCTAGGACCACATTAAGCATGAAACGGTATTTTCCTAATGCAGTTATAGAAAGTCAGTCATTCATATAGTCACACTCTTGGCATTTCTACCTACAAGAAGAAATACGATGTGGGGAGTTGAACTCCCCCTTGGTTCTTGTGTCCCAGAAGGAGTACTTACATCTGCTAAGGGGTATTTGGGGATAGGCTCACACAGAAATGTGAAGGAGGAGTCAGGGATGGTCAGCATTACCCTATGCATATAAAGGAGGAGATGTTATTTTCCAGGCAGAGGGAATAACAACACATAGAAAGGCAGAGGCAGGAGAAAGCATGTCATGTTGAGTGAACTGTGGTGGTTCCAATATGACTGGAGTACAGTTTTGCAAGTTACAAAGTTTTTGGAGATGAACAGTGGTCGTATTTGCACAGCAATATGAATGTACTTAATACCACTGAACTGTGCAAAGATGGTTAAGATGGCAAGTTTTATGTTTTATGTATTTTAGCATAAGAAAAAGTATGTGCCTGGAGCATAAAGTGGAAAGGAAGACATTGTGGCAGTTGGGAAAAAGGGAAACTGTGTAGAGGGGTTGGGCTGAGTAGGGGCCAGATCCTCAGTCCTCAAAGCATGTGCAGAGTTACCCCAGGTTCCATAGTGAACTCACAGGGGAACCATGAGGTAGTGGACATTTTTGAGAGAAAACCAGTGATAGCTGATTATCAGTGGGGACACCATATGAACTACTAACTCCAAGTAGTTTATGGTTTATTATTCACATTACATTCCTTTTGATAACGTCACAGAAGAAGCTGGATTGTTGGCAGTTTCTGTGATGAGAAGGTAGTACTGTACAAAAATTGGTATGAAGAACAGGTAACGAGGGTGGAAATGTCTTGAGAAATCATTTAGTACCCAGCAGGTACACCTATCCCTTTGGCAATTAGTTGTGCTTATTTAAGAATGAAATAAAAATATTTTTCTTTCGATTTATGTGAGTTTTTTTATGGCTACTTAGTACACAAATACAAAGTTTAGATCTAATTACTTAACTAAATGAAACTATTAGGTACTTTTTTTTAGCCCAGAGGCCTACAGAAGAATTTCTGAGTCACTAAATGCCCTATGAACTGAGAACTTTTGAGAAGCTCTGACCCAGATCCAGTGGCCTCATATGATTTTACTTCTGTAGGCACTGGTGAGCCATTGAAGAGCAGTGAGCACTGCAGGCAGAAGGCAGGCAGTCTAGAGGGCATTGGGAACTTGAGGGCCTTCAGGACTAGAGGCTGGGAAGCTTGTCAGAGGGCTATTGGAGTACTTTAGTGGGTTAGGGATGAGAAGGGCCTAACTAAGCAATAGCAATTGGGATGGAAAACAGGCAGGGGATTCAAGAATAGTCTGGATGGGAGAGAAGACAGGATGTGGTGAGTGAAGAGGAGAATGTGGAAAAAGGAATATAGGGTGCTTTCTGGCATCAAGGTTTGGGTAATTAGACCACTGTGGTACCTTACAGCAAGATGGGAGGCTATCAAAAGGGGTGGGACAGGGTAAAAAGGTAGAGGTATGGGGAACAATGAACTCAATTTGGGACTTCATCCGAGGTGCCTTGAGGAGAGCTGGGCCTATGCCACAGCATGGAGGCTATATTGAAAACAGATTAGAGAACCAACGAATGCAAACCAGGGGTGTGGATGACATTTCTTCTCCCCCAGGGCAGAGCAAGTGAGTGAAAAATGTGTTTGTGTCTCTGTCTCTAGAGGGGAGGGAAGACCAAGTTTAAGGCTCTGGGAAGCATCATCATTTAAGGAGAGGAAAAGGAGGCTGAAAAGAACTGTCAGAGTACCAAGAGGTGGGCAAGACTGTGTACTGAGACCTTAGAAGGAGGAAGGGGTGGTCAGCAATATCAGATGTTGCAGAGACAACCAATAAGATGTGAACTGAAGTGGTCTGATGCTGCAGAGGTTATTGGTGACCTTGATGAAAGCAGTTTCTGGGTGGTCATGGAGGTGGATGCTGGATCAGAGTGTGTAGAGCTTGGAATGGCAGGGGAGGCCATGGGGCTTAAGTATCCATGATGTGTCACAAAGCTTGATGGTCACAGAAAGAAAGCGAGAGCTAAGAGGGCATATTGGACCAAGGGAAGGGTGAGCTCATTTGGTCTTCGGTTCTTTTGTGTGTAATGGGAATGAGTTAAACTTGTTTCTGGGAAAGATCAGTGGAATAGGCAGGGTTAAAGATGCAGTAAAGTCTTTATAATTGATGTCTTGATGTGACAGGTGCTCAAGGAGCCGGAAAGAAAGGGGTGAATTCGGGGCTGAGTCCTGGGTACAAGAAGGAAATACAAGGATGGTTAGGAATAGAGATGTTTGTGGATAGGAGCAGGAAGGAAGCTTAGGGAGTCCTGTAGATTGCCTCTGTACTCAGCAAGCCTGGAAACAAGGTCATTGCCTGGGTGAGCATAAAGGGCAGTGCAGCCACTGAGCAGAGGGGTTGAGGCAAGAAGCCAGGCGCAGGTTTCTCCTTGGCACAGCACTACTTTGCTCCTATTGTGCTGAAAATCTGGCAGTCCCAGTGTAACTTAATAAAACTTTTACCATATTGTAATTTGCATTGCCTTTTAGTATGTTAGCCAAATAATTGCAGTATTGAATACAACTTATACTTTGTTTAACTGAGTCTTCTCTTTATTTTTAGTTAGAAATCCTGTGTTCTGTCAACATTCTCCAGTTTATATTCATTGCCTTAAGACTGGACAAGATCATCCACTGGCCCTGGCTTGTATGTAACTTTTTAAATTCTTAAATAAACTTTTTATTATAAAAGTAATTTGTGTTCATTGTAGAAAACTTGGAAAAGACAGATAAGCATAGGTAATAGATAATAATCACCCATAATCCACTGGGAAATGAGATGTTTAGAGTATTTTGTTTTCTTGTTTTATGGCTTATTGTTTCATAAAGATAGTTGAGAGCATACCACATATATAATTTTATATCCTGCTTTTTTGTTCTAAGGTATCATAAACATTTTCCCATGTCAATAAACGGTCTTTAAAAACATAACTGTTAAAGTTTAATTGATGGAAAATATTCTTCCAATGCATTTACCAAACCACCCCCTTATTTCTGAATATTGAGTTTGTTACCAGTGTTTTACTATTATAAATCATGCAGCAGCATATATTTTTGTGCATAAAACCTTTGCCTGATTTTTTTCATTGTTTTCTTAGGAAAGACTCCAGAAACAGTATTACAAGCCCAGAGGGTGGGAACTTTTTGAGATTTTGAAATACAAACTGCATTGCCAATTTGCTTTTCAAAAAAGCTGTGCCCATTTATACTCCTGCCAAGGGTGAGGTCTAAGTCATGCTTGTAACCTGCAGCTTCAATTAATGTGTTTTTGATTATTATTAACTGTGCATAGATAGATAGAAGGACTGATGGATGGATGGATGGATGGATGGATGGATGGATGGATGGATGGATATATTTATACATACGTACATATAAATGGCAAGCTACAAGTTAGAGAATACAGTATGGTTTCAACTATTAATGCATAGAAAGAAGATGAGAATAAGGTAGAAGGGCTCCACTGCATCTGGGAAATGGTCATGCCAGTTTTTTTCCCCCTTGCTGCTTGATGTATTTTTGCATACAAGATATTTTCTGTAATTTACATGGTTTACTTTAAAAGAGAAATTGAAAGTAAAAAATATAGAAAAAAAAGAAAATATTCATTTGGCAGCAGGGAAGAAAATAAGGGAACATATGTTGCTTTCACAATGACTAAAGACAAGGCTCATCACTTCTGCCCAAAGTCTTTGATAAAATATTTATAATAGAAATTATTGTCCAGGCACCCATCCTACAACTTCAGGGTGCTGTATCTGGAGAACAGTAATTGGGTTTCAGATTTCCTGTTGTGACGTGGAGGAAACAAATCTTGGTAAGACCAAAATTTAAGTGTAAGGTAAATCAGAAAAAAACAAAACAAAACACAAGAATAGGAGCGGTGAGTGTTTTCTGTAGGTAAACAGAGGGATTTTTCTAGGCCCTATCCTGTGCAGGTCTCAGCAGATGAAACAGTCTGATTGCACATTTCCCACAATGATTGAGAGAGACCAAATGAGGCCATTAGGACCACTAACATTTCACCCACAGGGGGCATGCCACTAAATGAGAGTCTGATCACAGTGAAGAGACTGTGCATAGACTCTACAGTAAAACCTATGATCAGGAACTCCAAGCTACTCAGGAGGACTAAAAATCATACACCAACCCAAGTCATTGGTTTAAAAAATAAAATGTAGCCCGACCAGGCGTGGCTCAGCGGTTGAGCGTCAACCTAGTATCCAGGCGATCGGGGTTCGATACCCGGTCAGGGCACATGCCCAGGTTGCAGGCTGCAGCCGATCAATGACTCTCTCATCATTGATGTTTCTGTCTCTCTCTCTCCCTCTCCTTTCCTCTCTCTGAAATCAATAAAGATATATTTTAAAAATAAAATGAAATAAAATAAAATGTAAGCCCAAAGAACTATTAGGAGAAAACAGGAGAAAATCTTTGGGACTTGGAGTTAGTTGAAGAGTTCCTGGAAATGACACCAACAACACTGTCTATAAAAGAAGCTCAAAAGTGAAATGAAATTAATGAAAAGACAAGCTGCACGCTAGGAAAAAATATTTGCAAAGCATGTGTCTGACTAAGAACCTGTATCCAAAACATCTAAAGAACTCTCAAAACTTAAAAAATAAAAACCAAACAACCTAATTTAAAAATTGACATTCACAAAAAGGATATGCATATACTGAATGAGCATGTAGAAAGGACACTGTTACCCGTTAGGGAAAGGCAATAAAAACCAGGACGAGGTACAACAACACATACATCAGAATGGCAAAGATAACACAATACCAAGTGCTGAGGAGGATGCAGAGGGACATCACTGGGGGGATTGCCAAATTTTATAGGTACTCTGGAAAATTGTTTTACAATTTCTTACAAAGTTAAACATGGAGTTACCATGTGACTCAGCAGTGCCAATCCTGGGTATTTCCCCCAGAGAAGTGAAAATGTACAACCACACAAACACCCATGCACACATGTTTATAGCAGCTGTATTTGTGATAGCTAAAAGTCAGAAAACACCTAAATCTTCCATGGGTGACTGGATGAACAGGCTGTGATACATCCATCCAGTGGAATACAACTCAGCAATGAAAAGGAATGACCTGTTGATACATGCAACAACTTGGATGACTTTCAAAGACATTCTACTGATCGAAAGGAAGGAGTCTTAGAAGGTGGCATGCTGTATGATCATCTGCAGCGCATTCTTGAAAAGATACAAGTGTAGTGATAGAGAATAGATCAGTGGTTGCCAGGGGTTATAGGTGGGGTAAAGAGGTGACACAGTGAAGGAAGAGCATGAGAGAGTCTTGTGGGGTCAAGGGGCTATCCTGTATCCTACCCGGAGCTATGAAGATCTACAAGTACATGCTTGAAAAGTCATAGAACTGTACACCAAAGAAAACAAGAGTACTGTCTGATAACACAAGACAGAGAGCTAACAGACATGTCCAAGGGGGCAGTACAGGTGGAGAAGAGATCATGAGGCCCCTAGGACTTAGCCTGTGGGCTTGTATGGGCATTAAACAAGGTCTTTGTGATATGACAGCAACAGACACAGAACCCACATGGGAGAGGTAGCAGAGACCAGGTAACAGAGCCCTCCCAGCATCAGTGTGCAAGTTGGTGGAGGGCCTGTGTACCCTGGGCAGCTGAAGCTTCCAGGGCACACATTCCCCAGTCTTGGCCAAAGTACCTCAGGCAAGATGGAAAAATGGCCTGTGAAGAGAGTACATTAGGGTGAGGTGAGGTGATTGTGCATGGGATGGCAACACTGTCCTGTTTCTCTGGGGTTTGTGGCAAGAGGGTGATGCTGGCAGAGCAGATGCAGACTGAGTTAGATTATACCTAAGGAAAAGCAGCTGCAAGGTTCTTCACCCCAAGACTGATCCAAGGTGGAACACTTCCAGGGCAGGCAGCAGGTCCCACAGTGTGTCCTTACAGCATTCCTAGCATGTAAGGTTGTCCTTGTTCATGCTTACACTGTCTCTTACAGAGACCCAGTAAGGGGTTGATTATGCCTCCCCTCAGATTCTAGGGGAGAAATTCGAATACTGTAAAGACATTTTTTTCTCCTTTCCTCAGGTTGTGTGTGTCCCCCTGTGGATTCTCATGTCCTTTCTGTGCCTGGTGGTTCTCTATTATATTGTGTGGTCTGTCCTGTTCCTGCGATCCATGGATGTGATTGCAGAACAGCGAAGAACACACATAACAATGGCACTAAGCTGGATGACCATTGTCGTTCCCCTCCTTACATTTGAGGTAAGCTTTCAATAGCATAACTTCTGAGGCCATGAAGGCCACCCTTTCCTACAACAGCATCCTGCATAATTATAAGGGCAGTCCGCTCTCCCTGGAAATCACCATGAGCTAACTCTTGGAGAGCATGCCAAGAGAGAATGACAGTAAAATTAGAATGTTGTTTCTTTGGGAAGGGCTGGGGACTGGCAGTGAGAAATGTACCTTTCTTGGTATGATGCATCTGTATGTATCAATTTTTCTACTTCTAGAAAGAAAATTGGATGTTGTTCATATATGAGTTTTGTGAAAAGTTATAGGATGGGCACTGCTGACTCCTCAAAACCAACACTAGGAGGAGTTCCCCATAATAATCCTGGTGTTGGATACTTTGCAGGTGGATGGATTTTGCTTCCCCCAAAGTAGAGGGTTTCTATGGTCCCCTGTGGAGCTTCCTTCCCCATCATGAGACCTTGTGAGGGAAGAGCTCTCTGGCTTCAGATATTGTCCATTTTCAGATGCTGTATCCAAGAACCTCAATTGTTTCTCTTTCCTTAGATCCTGCTGGTTCACAAACTGGATGGCCACAATGCATTCTCCTGTATCCCAATATTTGTCCCCCTTTGGCTTTCCTTGATCACTCTGATGGCAACCACATTTGGACAGAAGGGAGGAAACCACTGTATGTACTCAACGTTTCAGAAATCCTTGACATGTGTGTTTGTTTGCAGCCCTGCTCTATGAAACAGTGAGCCCGAGGGCACCAATTAAGAAGTTTTCATGGGAAATCTAGCACTGAGGAAGGTTTGGAATCTTCCAAGGGAAGGGTGTGCTGTCAATCTTGTTTCCCCTGCCCTGCACCATGGCGTCCCTAGCAGTACACTACAGTTTGAGGTAAGACTGACCCTAGCAGGTAGCCTGTCTGGGCCCCATCCCATCCACTACAACATTATAATCAAGGTACCTCCTTCTCAGGGTGTCCTGAGGATTAGATGAAAATCCATATGCCCATCAAATCCCAGGAGTCCTCCTAGATTCTTTTTCCTCCTCACTTTTCCCAGTGTCATTCCTGACGTCACTAGGTCTTTTCAGTGTTGCCCTGCTTGCTTTCTCTTCCTCTTCACCTGTATGCTGTGATACCCAGGATTGAAGTGATCTATGAAGAGGATCCCTTCCTCACTAGACTGAGCTCCTTTGCGTGTAGCCCCTGAACATGCCCTTCTGGAATCCAATGAGGGAAGGTGTTGTGCCGCAGGAGAGCCAGCACTGCTCTGATGGTCCTGTGGTACAGAGTCAGGAAGAGTGGGCCTCAGAGAAGTAGCTTTGAGGTGGCGCCATGAGCTCAGGCTGCCTCTTAGCCTAGACCAAGATGTGCCTGCTCTCCTCCTCCTGGATTACAGAGGATGACAAAAATGCTTTCATGGATACCACTCTTTGCCATACATGAATTTATCCTGGGTGGGGAAGATTAGAGGTTGTCTACAAAGTCTAGACTCCACAGCTACTTGAGACTCACTAGAGCAAGTACTCAAACTACAGCACCCATCAGAATCCCTGGGAGAGCCTGTGCAAGCAGACTGTTCCACCTTCCAATTCTGATTCATGAGTTCTGGGCTGGGCCAAGATTGTATCCCTAACAAGACCCCAGGGACACTATCACGCTGGTCTGGGAGCCCCACTTGGAGAACCATGGAGCTCAGATATTACTTCTTGTTTTTAGTCTTCATTTTTAAGACATCAGGATAAAACTTCTCATTCAGGATAGAAAAGTAACTTGATATTCAGTGCAGGCTAGTATTTGAAAAAGTACATTCTTCTTTTTCAGGGTGGTTTGGTATTCGCAAGGATTTCTGTCAGTTTCTTCTTGAAATCTTCCCATTTTTGAGAGAATACGGAAACATTTCCTATGACCTTCATCATGAAGATAATGAGGAAACAGAGGAAACCCCAGTTCCAGAACCTCCTAAAATTGCTCCTCTGTTTCGAAAGAAGACCAGGGTAGTTATCACCCAGAGCCCTGGGAAGTACATCCTTCCACCTCCCAAATTAAACATTGAAATGCCAGATTAGACACCACTTCCTGGGGCAGAATGCAAGTGCACTGGGATGCATACACCCTTCTACCTTTGTTTACCCCCTAGAACCAGAACTGGAGTTGGGCTCCAGGTACTTCCATCTCATGCCTTGTTTGCACTCAATGCCTGCCAGTGACTCACCACAATGGGTCACACAGGTGGCAGGTAACTGGAACATGTGGTGTGGTTTGGGGTGTGCCAACAGATGTGGATGCAATGGAGGGAGCTTGTGTGAGATGGGGAGATCAAGCTGGTTCAGACCCATTGGTGATGGCTGATTAGGCCAGAGAAGTAACATCTACAGAACTGGTTTTCAAAGTGCTAAAATTCATATCAAAAGTGTTATTTGAAAATGCCTCTTTAAACCTAGCCAGCCTTGCCACTTAGCTCAGATTCTCCTGTTGTGGCGTAGTCAGTAGGAACTGTAAATAGGCCTCTCTGGCACCATGTGTGTATCCACACAATTGTTACTGTTCATGTTCCTGCTGTGGAAGTAGTTTCTCTTTGGGCATGCTGACAGCACTTTTTAATGGCCCTGTTGGGGAGCCCTTTCTAATGGAGTGACTCCATGCTTGTATAGTAATTATACGAATATTTTAACATTGCAATATACCATGTTAAATCCTAGTTCTGTACAGTATATTCTGTTAAAGTATTTTTTTACAAGATTGTACTGGAGACATACATGTTCTGGTGCCGAAGTAGAAGTCAGTGGCACACCTGTCCCACCCACTGTGTTGCCACCCCTTAACAGGACATCACCATTTCCCCTTGAATTTCTCCACATACATAGTAGCTTCTACTGCCAGAATAGCCACAATAAGCAAGAAATGGTCTGTGCTTTTCTAACATTCTGGGAATATTGGCTTGCTGGAAAACTATAAAGCACTTGAAACTGGAACACTGGATGAAGTTGCTGAGTCTAGGAACAGCCAGTGGAATTGTGTATCTAAGAAGATCTGAGGCTTTTTGTCTGGCCTCAACAAAAACACTTCTGGCTGGGCCTGTGCTTTTAACTAGAAGGGCAGTTCCTCCAAGAGCTGGTGGAGAACCCATGAGTCAAAGTAGATCCTACAGGTAACAACCTTCTGCCTCTGGGAACAAATAGGCCATTTTTTAAATGGAAGGTAAAGGGAATACTGGCATTCTCATCCAGGAAAAGAGTGGGCATAAAGAGAGGATTTAAGGTGGGCATCTGCTAACTTGTCTAAACCAAGTTCTACTGATGTCCACAACATACTTGACCCCAGCCTGGCCCTGGCCTCCAGCCAGACTGTTCTGTCTGGGGGAAAGGGACGCTTATGGAATGGGGTAGCCTTTCCTGCTTGGTGTGTAACAAATGTAGATTAGTCCACTATTTTTGCTCCCTTTAGCTGTTCAATAAACTGGTTCCTCATTTTCCATGCACACTGTGTGGGTCTTGCTTTAGATATGGTCTGGGGCACTGGAATTGTTCTGAGCTAGAGGGGAAGGAAACTGCTAGCTGCCACAGGTGGCTGTGGCATGTGGGAATGGGTGAACATCCCTGATGAGTCGTCAGGTACAGTGTGAATGCAGTTCTGCAATTGTTACAGCTTAGGGGCCTTACAAAAGTATTCTGGGGTTCCAAGACACTTTTAAAGCTGAAATTGGCTGTTCAGTGGTCCCAAGGCATTGCCTGGTCACATCAGCAGCTGAGTATTGCTTATGAAGAAATAAAATAGTCTGTGATTTCTGTATAGCTCACCCTAGCTGCCTGTACAGTTTAATGGACATTTAAATCAGGTGGCATTTCAGTCCATGCTTTTCAGCAACTGACAAGGAAGTCCACCATTTGCTGGTGACAGATTATTTCCTGCAGGAGCCAAAGGCCACAGATGTATCATTTTGAAAGCTCATTAGATTTCAGACTTGCTGTTAGACAAAACACCCTTTTTGGTAACCACAGTAGCTATGATTTAAGTGTCCGGTACCTTGCTACTAATGTACATCCTGTTGAATCCTAAGGACTCCATGAAGCAGGTGCAACTACTATTATCCCCATGAGTAAATGTAGCCTCAGAGAGGTCAAGTAACAGGACCAGAGTCATGCAACTAGGAAACGTCAAAGCTGAGATGCCAGTGTTCCCTAGTCAACAGTATCTCTATGACACCCCTCTTTCTGTTTGCATACTGCATGTTCATACTGTGCCTGAAGACTCATTAGAGATGTTCAATTACCCCCCACATGCCTCTGTTCTCCAGCCAATGGTAGAATTTCCATGATACCCCTTTTTCCTTCTGCATGCTGCATATCAGACTGTACCCCAAGACTCATTAAGGATGGTCACTCACCCCCGCATCCCTTAGCCACCTGTGGCACCTAGTGGTTTCCTTTGAGGAAAAGGAAGAGATAACTGTGGGAGAGAAGAGAGGGCAAAGCCCTCTAAATCCTGGGCACAATCTGACTCAGAGCTCGGTTGGGGGGGCAGTGAAGTCCTCTTGGTGGTCTCCACCTGGACTCAGCAAGACCTGGGCCCATGCCCTCTGCTATCTGAGTCTGTATCCCTCAGACCAAGGCTTTGACTCCCCCAGATTTCCCCAGGCATGTGGAAGCAGGGGGAATTGCTCAGCCTGAGAGCTCCATCCAGGGTCCCGTAGAGCTGAGAGTAACACCGGGAGTTGAATTCTGTAGTGCCCTCTGTTCTGAGGCGTGTGGACTCCTCAGTCCTCATTCAGGAGGGTCCCCACAACCCTTGCGAGATCTCTGCAGTACCAGTATAGATGCCAGAGGGGGCTCTGAAGTGCCCAGGATGTGGGGGAGGGGCAGAGAAGAAGCCCCCCCTTCTCATCGTGTTTCTTCACCAGCTCAGCTGACACTTGAGAAACTGTTTTAAAGCTTAGTTATTACCGAAGACGCTGAGCAGTGGCAGGGATTCGGGGAGGTCCTGTGAGTTTGCAGTTATCTGTCTACCTTTGCCTTGTAGAGGGCAGGGATTTTCACTTTTTGATCCTCATTCATAGGACATTTTACATCTCTACCTAGTATATGTGTGCATTATTTGTATATAACATAAATGTAGATTAGATGTACTTATATACCCATATATGTATATGCCATGTACATAAATATTTAGGCATGCTTGTTCATGTCATATGGATTTATATATAATATACTGTTATTTTATTTAAGAATACCTACTCTTACTCTGCATGATTCACTCTGATACTTCTTCTAGTCTATTCTTTATAGTCTATTAGAATAATAATTTTTGAAAGGCCAGTCACCCATTAAGATTGTTTCACGAGGCTGTTAGCACAGACTCTGAGTCACATGCCTCAAACATCCCATCTTTCCTACTTTCTAGATATTGCCCCAGGGCTACTGACATGTGTGGTCTGAAGGCCTCAGATTTGTGCGGTAAAGTAGGGACAGAAGTTTAAAATCTTCTGCCCATCCTGTCATCCACATCATGTAGCCCCTCCAAACTTGCCTTCTCCCCCATGTCCCCACCCCATAGCTCACCACAGCCTTCAGCCTCCTCCAGGGCTTTTTATGTTTTGTTGTTTGGATTTTGTTCATATTGTGTGTGTGTTTTTAAGACGTCTTTTCTAGAGCACTTTTAGGTGCACAGAAAAATAGAAAACAGTACAGAGATTTCCCAGCAACCCCTTGCCACCACCCATGCTTAGCTTCATCCATTATCAATGTCCCCCACAAGAGTGGTACTTTTGTAACAACAGATGAGCCTACATTGATATATCACCTTCACCCAAAGTCAATAGTTTACATTAGGGTTCACTCTTGGTGTACATTCTGTGAGTTTGGACAAATATATAATGGCATATATCCATTATTATAGTGTGGTACAGAGGACTTTCACTGTCCTAAAAATCCTCTGTGCTCTGTCTATTCATTCTTCCTCCCACAGTCCCTGGCAACCACTGATATTTTTACTGTCTCCATAATATTGCCTTTACAGAATGTTATATAGTTGGAATCATACAGTATGTATGATTATCTTTTTTCAGATTATCTTTTTTCACTTAGTAATATGCATTTAAGATTTTTCCATGTCCTCTCACAGCTTGATAGCTTATTTCTTTTAGTGCTGAGTAATATTCCCTTATCTGGATTGCTACAGTTTATTTATCCATTCACCTACTGAAGGACATCTTGGTTGCTTCTGTTTTGTCAATTATTATAGAAAGTCTCAAACATGTAAACAGTAGAGAATAATGTTATAAACCCCATATACCTGAAACCCAGCATCAAAAATCTTCCATACATTGCCAATCTGGTTCCAGATCTCAGATATCATACTGTAAAACATCTACAAAACGTCGTACCATTTCACCTCTAAGTACTTCAGTATGCATTTCTAAACATAAGTACTCCTCTATGAAACATAAAGCCAACATGATTATCATTAAACAAGTTGTTAATATAGTGAAATGTCCACTTATTTTTTCACATTTTTTCTGGTACCTGTATACTTCTTTTAAAGTACAGTTTCTTTGAATCAATTTCAAAATATGTTCTATACATTTTGACTATTCAGGTGCCTTAAGTCTTTCTAAATCTATAGATTCTCTTGTATCACCTCTCTTTTTAGCAAATGTTGGGTGTGTTTTGGTGAGGTATGCAAAGTAGACAGGCTCTGAATGGCTAACATATGTTTACTTGAACTATATGTACAGCAATTAGATATATAATAATTTGAGTTTAACATCAGTGAATATTGGACTAACAACCCAAGCCTTCTGCAAAGAAGTAAATGACATTAGGGGCCATTTTAGGCTGATACATAGGGGCCACCTTTGACCTATTTATTTATTTTTTTAAATATGTTTTTATTGATATTAGAGAGAGAGGAAGGGAGAGGGAGAGAGAGAAACTTTGATGAGAGAGAAACATCGATCCGCTGCCTCCTACACACCCCCTACCGGGGTTTGAGCCTGCAACCTGGGCATGTGCCCTGACCAGGAATCTAACTGGAGACCTCTTCATACACAGAATGATGCTCAACCAACTGAGCCACACTGGCCAGGGCTTTTTGACATATTTATATAACAGTCAATACTACCTTAGATACAACAACAAAAAATTCATTAATGAAAACAAAAGTGATAAATTGGACTTCATCAAATTCAAAACCTCTTTTCTTTAAAATATAGTATTAAAAGGTAAAAAGATGAGCCACACACTGGGAGAATATATTTTCAAATCACATATCTGATAAAAAGTCTTGTATCAAGTATATACAAAGAATTCTCAAATCTCCATAAAAGAAAATCAAACAAATCAATAAAATGGGCAAAGATCTGTATATACACTTTCCCAAATAGATGTATGGATAACAATCATAGAACTAGAAACTCAATAGCATTAGCCATTATGGAAATGCAAATAAAAACCACAGTGAAATACCACTACACACCTATTAGAATGGTTAAAATTGAGTGACCATACCAAATGCTGCTAGGATGTAGATCATGGAAACTCTTATACCCTAATGGTGAAAGTACACCACTTTCTAAAACAGGGAGTTTCTTAAATATTTAGATATGCACCTACCATATGATGCAGCCATATCACTACTATTCATATAAAATTTTTAAATGCAAATAAATTTCTCATGCCATAAAACAAATCTGTGGTTTATTGGGAATGGAAATAGAGAGAGGAAGAAAGAAGGAGGAGATACAAAGTTCTATGAGGAAAGTCATGGAGATGATGGTTATGCTCACTATCTTGATGGTGGTGGTGGTTTTGCTAGTGTATACATATGTGAAAACTTATCAATTTGTACATTTTGGGAAGCTTGCTGTATACCAATTATACTTCAATAAAGCTGTTTTTTAAATTGTATTCTCTACAAGGAAAAAAATAGCTTTTGAAAAGAATAAAGATAAAGGATTTGGGGAGAAGAGTAGTTTTTCACTGGAAATATATAGCTAGCTGGAGTATAGTGGTGATAAAAATGAAGACTGGCTTTAATTCAGTTCTATTACTGTTTTAAAATTCTCTGTAAAGATTCAAATGCCACTTCTAGGACAGTGGAGTAAATGTGCATTCTCCTATTTCTCCTGTTAAGTAGAACTAAATACTCAGGATATAATATATAAAACAAATACAAGAAAGCTCTGAGCAGTGTAGAGAAGAAGGCAGGGACCTCGGATGCAAGGAATGACAATGGTGAATTTGTTCCCTGGGTTTTACTTTTATGTCTCATATATCCCGGTCTCATATGTCCCAGATGTGTACCTGAAGAAACTGGCAACATGGCAATGCCAATAGGCATAGACAAAACAACAACAAAAGCAAAAAAAAAAAATCCACTCCAACAAAAGTCTGCTGTTTCTGGCCAAAGGACTAGGAAAGGGATTACCTAACAAGATAGAAAACTTATAGACAACAGCTGCTCTACTCCCACGAAATACTACCAGAAACATCTGTGGACTACTCTCACTCATGCCAGCAAACACTAAGTAGGTAGCCTAATTTACACCCTCACCAGGCTATACCGAGGTGTTCCAATTGTACCACCACCACTACTGCCACTACCAGAATGGTGTCAGAGAAGACTGAGTAAGGAGCTAGGAGTTCATCCTCACAACATGGTAACATGGTCCCCCTCATCCCATGAAGTCTGTGGAGATAATTTTGCATGTTGGTAGCCTGAGCTGCTACCCACAGGTAACAAGTCACCACCTCCTCTCCACAGTGGAGATGGTGTCAGAAGAGGCCTAGTGGAAAGTGAGAACTTTCACCACTTCCCAGCAATAATGAAGAAAATCAATGATTCCCAGGAAGATAGGTATCAGTGGAAGCCTAGTATGGAACCAGAACTCCCATCTCTATCCAACAGTAATGAATACCATCACCCTTGGATGTCAATGGAGGCTGAGGGAGGAATGTACTCTTCCACTCCCTACCTTTCAGTGATGACGTGATGCTCCCATTCTCCTTTTGGAGTACAAGAACCAAAATGTCAAACCATGGTCTTATTATGAAGAGAATTCATAACAAGAAACAAATATCTCAAACTGAATTTTAAAAATCAAGATGGCAGACATGTTAGAATTTCGGAAAAAGATTCTGGGGATCTGGAAAGGTGGCAGCACTGTGACAAGAAGCAGAACATCCATGCTCCCAGCAACGGATGCAATTTACGACTAAAATACTGAGTAACCAGCTTGGAAAAAACAGATAAATATACCTGAGTGGTCATATTTTGTGTAGGGAGCCCAGAAGAAACATCATAGAGTCTGGTAAGGGGGGGCATAGAAAGGGGGGTCCCTACTGGAGCCTGTGCTGGGTTCCAAGGACCTAGGGCTAGAGGCTGCAAAGCTCCCTTAGGAGTGTGGACTGCCAACCAAAAGCTGGGATCTCAAACCCAGAGGAGAAGAGAAGGAGAACCTGTGCACACAGGGCAGGGGGAGGCCACGGTAACAGTGTGCCTGCAAAGACGGGACTGTGCTTCCCTCTGAAACAAAGCTTCTATTGGCCGATTCCAGCCCCAAGAGCTGCTGGTGGGGCAGATGAAGACTGCAGCCACCAGAGCTGCCAGTGGGGAGGTTTTGGTCTTCAGCCACCAGAGCAGCTGTTTGGCCTGCTCTTAGCTTTACTGAGATCAGCTATGCAAGGGAGCTGTGGGGGGCTGGCTTTGACACCCATCCTGCATGGTACCAAGATGCAGGGGCAACGGGACCTAATAGGCTGGAGTTTCTGCCTGTGTGCTGCTTTGTGTGTTCTTGAGTTTTTGATGGCCGAATGGGCATCCATCTTCCAGGCTTGCATTGGGGAGACAGACCAGCGAGAGCAGGGATTTGTGTCTGCATTGTGGGGAGTTTGAAATAAGCACCCCACCCCGTACATCAGCCAACCAGATCTGGGAAAGGAGGAGTGGAGCACACCTACCTCTCCTGCAGACTAGGAGCACCATCCTAACAGGAAAGGGGCTGGTTCAGCTAACTTAAACCCCAGATATTCCCCCACAGGGCACAGTCCTGAAGGGGAGGGGAGAACAGCTCACAGGACGACAATACAAGAATAAATCTCTCAGGAACTATTGTTTGGGAACTTGAATAAAACCTTAAAACACCTTCTGGGGGCTGGGCAGACAAAGTGCTCACTGGAATGTTTTTGAATCCAACCCACTGAGCCCAGGCTGCTGAAATTGCCCATACAGAAAAAGTAGCAGACTGAAGTCAATCTGAAACTGTAGCAGGCCATTGAGTGGGTAACTGGAATTGGAGGATAGGGTAGAGACTGAGGAGCTGGCTTTGAAGCAAAGACTAACTTCCCCACAGTGAGTGCCTGACAGTGAAACCTCTAATTAAAGGGAGAAATATCCCAAGCTACACTAGCTGGTCTGCACCTTAAAGACTCTTCAGAAGACTCTGAAGTAATATCAGGCAACCACAAGTGGGAGGCAAAATAGCTGACAAGTGGAGATGGTCCACAGAGCGCCTCAGATCATCCAACTACCTAAGGACACCAGAGCCAAATCTGGACATCTCCTGTCATTGGCTGATACACAAGTACCTCCCAGGAGAACCAAAATCAGCAAACAAAACAGTGAGCCTCAGACTACATAAGCTGCCCAGATGAAACTGACCTGATTGACTATTTTTTTTTTAGAAAAAAAGAAAAGATTTTTTTTCTTTTTAAATTATTTTTAAATTTTTAAATTTTTAAATTATTTTTTTAATTTCTTTAATTTTGCTTGATTTTTTTTTTTTGCTTTACTTTGTTTTCTCTTTTGTTTTATTATCAAGATTTTATTGATATTCTCTGCTTATTGCTGGGACATTGTCATTATAACCAATAAGTTTACCACTTTTCTCTATAGTTTCCTCAATATCTCTTATTGAACTCCCTCTGTG